TATAGATGTCTGTTTCATAAGAAACTATTGGCAATATAGCAGGAAAATCCTCTAGTACAACTCTTAAAGCTAGGTGGGAAATGCCTATTTGTTCAAATAATCGACAGAGATACCCCGTACATTCATTTTGATGCACGTWTTTATGATTTCGACGGCACTTTAAGGAACAGTAAATTATACTGCAATCACAGTCATGGCAGGGAATTGGTATAATGAGCATAGCACCGCATTGTTGGCATATTTGACATCCCTCGACAGGTACAAAAGAACTGATCCTTTCACTAAAAATTACCTCCCCMGATTTTATGGCGCTTTTAGCAATCATATATCTCCCACGGGTAGCAACTTTCGTGTCAGTTTTTCTATAAGTACATGAATAATAAAATACAAGCCATAACTAATATTACATAAGCTTCTGCACTAACTCACACTTCGGTAGATTCCTTTATTTGCAAAACCGTATTAATGGTTTCCTCCGTTTTGATTTTGGTTTCCTCATCTAAAATTGTTAACCCCTTTTGTAATTCTTTTACTCTCTGACTAAAATTTTCATTTAGAGTGCTTTTCTCCAATTCTTCTAAATGTTTTTTGAGTTCCTTAGAATCCTTTAAATAGTATGCACAAAAAGCCTGACGTATTTTAATTTTGTGTAAAAGTTTCACTGGATAATGGTTTGTCTCAAGTGCGCAAACACAATCGTCGTACGCTTGTTGATAGTATTCTAATTCCTGTAACGCCATTGCACGATTGGCATAAGCCAGTGCCAAAGCTTCTGTATTTCCGATTGCAGYGAATATAGATTGAGTATATCGTTGAGCAGCATTAATCATATTATCAAATTTACTTCCACATTTTGAWCTGTAAAAGTTATTTCCTTCTTTACGCAGTCGAACAGCAGATTGATTCGCATTGAGAATAGAACTGGAATTCCTTTGATGGGTAGACTTTATAGCTTTCAGCCATGCGGAGGACATGCGACGATTCGTAGGAAAGTTTTGGTTATTTTTTATATCTAAAATGATACTGAGCTCATTTTCAGAGTTCACTATTTTTGTATTCGAAACTTGATACGCTAAAAGCTCAGAAAAACTGTATTTTTCCATTTTAATTTAATGGATTATTGCTCTAACTGTAATGTGCATAAAGCACCTGTGGCCGGTTTATGTTAAATTGACGTGATTTATTGTTGCACTTGATATAAACAATATGCAAACAGCTGATTGGGAATTAGTGATGTGGTGGTAAGAAACGGAAAATATATCGATGCCAATATAAATCGACATAATGTAATAAATTTGTAGCAAAACTAAAACTGATAATGGATATAATTACATTTTTTTATCGAGAAAATTCTAATGAAACGTATATTTGGAATACACAATCATCCAAAATTTAACCATTCAAGCCTCTTGTGTATTTCGAAAATTTTATGAAAGTCGATATGCATAATACGTGAAAAATTTATTATCACTAATTCAACACATCCCTTTTAAACAATTATTTTTTCATATCTATTTTGCTGCAGAAATTTTTAACTCTTCCAATAAATCACATACGGAATCCAATAATGGACTTACAGCAATTAGAGGTAGAGGCGCGCCAAGCAGCCTTAAAGGATATAAAAAATATGCTGCAACGTCCAGGTCAACTAGAAAAAGTAGATCAATTTCTTCATCGCGTTGCACGAAAAAAGGCTTCAGTGGAGGCTCTACTAAAAACTGGTATGCAAAATCAACTGGATGGAGTAAGAGTAGGACTAAAACAATTAGAAACGTGTTTACAAGATGTCAAAGAAGTTCGGCAACGTATGCGAGAAGTTGATCGATTGTTGGAAGGAGTACCAGAGATATATGATGCATTGGAGGTTGTACGCGAAGAAAATACGAAACATTCGCAGTATGCTACGGCCATGGAAAACCTTAAGCATATATTTAATGTCGAAGCAAGTGTTTCAAAAACGATGACACTCATTGATGAGGACAAACTATTAAATGCGCACCAATGTCTAGCCGATTTGGAAAATTCCCGTGATGATTTGCTATATGAATTGCATAAACAACCTAAACAACATGCTTCGGACAAAATCACACTAAAACGACATTTTGAGACAGTGGACACAGTGTCCCAGGCGCTGGAAAAGAAACTACGTCTCATACTAAGTCGAACATTGAATACTGTTCGTAAAGAGCCAACTGTAATAGTGACTGCATTACGAATAATTGAACGCGAGGAAAAGAATGATCAATTCGCTTTGCAGCAACAAAAAGTCACTGGTTTCTTACCTCCGGGCAGACCGAAAAAATGGCGCTCCATGGCACTTAAGATTTTGCAGGAAGCCGTTGTTACACGTATAGAAGGTTCAAAATTGGAGGAACGTGCTGATAATAAAATGTGGCTAGTACGAGATCTTGAAATTTTACGACAAATAATTCTGGAGGATTTAAGAGTTGTCAAATCATTATGTGTGCCCTGTTTTCCCCCACATTACAATATCTTCAATGAATATGTGAAAATGTACCACGAAGGATTGTCCTCTTATGTAAGAAAATATAAAGTGTTTTTATATTTTGCATAATAAGTTATTATTGGTTTATTTAAGCTCGATAATATTGCGAAATCTGGACTTGAAGGTAATGAATATGTATCAATGCTCTCATGGGTAATGAATACATATCCTGGTGTGGAATTGATGTCACATCCTGACCTTAGAGTTGATATACAACAAGTAGTTGGACCTTTATTGCGTCCAGAACATCTCAAATCTCTTGAAGACGAGTACTTGCGCAATATGCAAAGAAACTATCAAGAATGGATGACAAAAACGGCAGAAACTGAAAAACAAGAGTGGTTCTCTGATCAACCGCCTGAACAAGAGCAGTACTACCATACATCAGCTCCCGTTATCATCTTTCAAATGATCGATCAACATTTACAAGTGACAAACACAATACACTCTGAATTAACATTTAAGGCATTGGTGATGAGTATTCAACAAGTGGAGGTATTCGGGCAATCGTATTTAAAAAATGTTATTGAATTGAAGGAACATCATTTTCGCAATCGTGATCAAATCAAGTATTTCACACACTATATAATAACTATTGTTAATAATAGCCAACAGATGGTTGAATTAGCTCAACAAATGAAGCAGTTGTATTGGCCTAAATCTCGAACCGAACATTATGAAGATTTTGAGAAACTACTTACTACATTCCAGCGTATTAGAGCGCATGCCACCAATTATTTACTCGAAGAAGCTTTCCTCGATATGGAATGTCATTTTAATGATTTGTTCACATTAAAATGGCTGGGGTCCACAATTTCTGTGGATACCATATGTGTGACTCTATTGGACTATTTCCAGGTATGCTTTTATAAATAACTCTTATTTGAAACTTTTGAATCATATGTCTTCTCTAATGTGTAGGATTATAAGCAYTTGCGTCCTAATAACTTTGAAATGGTAATTAATGAAGCTCAAAAACTACTTGCAAAACGTTATATACGTGCTTTACTATCTAAACGTTTATCAAAAACAAAAAGCGAGTGTGAAGCAATCACTACAAAAATTAAGCAGGAATCAAAACGTTTTAAGCAATGCTTCGAAAAAATAGCACCCAATTTAGCGATGAGTGATAGCCCACTGGATTTAATTACCACGCTCTCAGAATTATTGTCTAGTGACATTGAATTACTTGTGTTAGATCTTCATACACTTCTGGGGAATTATCCTTCCTTAAGTGAAGATCATATTGTGCGGTTGTTCTATTTGCGTAACGATGTAAAGGCCAGTGAAGTTCGTGAAAAGGTACAAGATGCTGCAAAATCTAAGAAGGCGATGGTAAGCGTAGCGAAACAAGATTGTATATTCAAAGAGATTGTTTTCAACGATAAATTGTGGTAAAAAAATATACATAAACAGTTATATTTTATTTATTATAGAAATGCAAGTACGTAGATAATAAAATGATAATAAAGTATTGAATTTAACATTAAAAATGATGTTTATTACGTGTTAGAAACCCAGATTCCAAATAAAATAAGATAAGTTGCTATATTGTTTCAAAGCAAATTCTGAATTTTTCCGATTAATTGTATTGAGAATTATCAATATATATATTTAATTAACTTTTAAGATTATCTGGAGGCACAAAAATACCTACTATATCGAAACATCGAAAATTCCTCTTCCTTGCATTGGTAGTTTTTTGTGCTACCCGTAAGGTGGCAACGCTATGTATTTTATGTAGAAAATTATGAAGTGTGAGGTTTTCGTAGTCTTGCTGGATGAGACAAGGAAATTGCCGTGAATAGGAAAACTGGACTAATTTTTAATTGCAAGGAAATCACTATCAATAGTGGAAACGACCCATTTGTATAATTTGCTTAATAATTAACAGTGTATCTACCTTTTGATTGAATGGAATTGATATAAGAAAATATATGTGAGCGCAATTTTGTGAAATTATTACGTGTATTGACGAGGCATTGGTGTACGTGAAAAAATGTGTTGAGCGAAAGAGAGGGAAAAGGCAATAATACATTTTGATACATTAATAATAATTTATTTTCTGATATTAATGAGAATATAATTTTAATGCGTGATTTGGAATATAAATGAGTTTTTTGGCCCCTTAATATAAGGGGCCAAAGTAAAGGTGAAAGCAACGAAGAAATTTGAGGCCCCTCAAGGAAGATATCCGCTAATCAGCAAATAAGGAAAAAAATTAAAAAGGCAAGCAACGAGATAAAATAAGTAAAAAAAGAACAACAACAACAAGGTGAATAATCGGAGGCTACTTGAAGTGCCTGTTCAGTGTAAAACAATCACAAGTTGTCAAAGTGCTACCAGCCAGGCATATACTTTTTTTATTTTGAAGAAAAATAAACTAAAAAAAATCGAAACTTGATGAATCAAAAACAGAATAAAAACAAAACCTGCGAAAGACGACCATTATAGGCCAATTCCGCTGCGCAATTTCCAAATTACTAAATCAANAAATAATAAAAATATTAATACGAAAAAGTGAAAAGAGAAAAGAAATTGTCAACGTCATTCGTCCAATATCGCTTTCGATTTTATATTCTCTTTGGACAAAAAGTGAACGAATTTTTGCTAATTCGTTACAATTGTCATACGATTCAATTGTACGAAATAATTTTTTCGTTTTTTAATTTCGTTTTGTACATTGGCCGCTCGCATCTGCGTGTGTGTGATCATATTCTTTGGAAGGCTTCATTCAGTGCAATCACTGTTCTTGAAGCTCACTCCGGAGAACAGATCTCACATCGTGTGCTGTTGCCGTACAATCCTTGAATGGGACACCAACTATGAACCAACTGAAATTCACACTAGCGGAGATTGGTATTTTGGTCAAACAACTGAACAAGAAAAATTTTGCTGAAACCAGCGAGAACATAAATCAGGTATTGTGTATTTTAAATTATTGAATATTTTTATCGGTGTTAATGATTGTAGAAAGTGTGTTCAAAGGTCTCGGCAATGACATTTTTATTTACATAGTAAACGCGTATGCACATATGTGTGCATACACAGCAGTCAACATGCGACCACTTGAAGCTTTTGTATTCAACAATGGCAGTTAGGGTGAAGTCAATGTTTATAATTATGGCAGAGATGTATCATCATTGCCTCGTTACCTCYTTGCTGCTTGATCAAACCCCCTTACCGTGTGTCTTTATCATACTAATCGGTTATTTCTWATTCCCACTGTCATTCATTTAAAACAGTATTGAAATATAAGTGAACACACCTCTTGTATTGTTATTTTCTCTTTATCCGTATCGTTTCAATCGCTGCCAGTTAGTTATTATTTATAATTTTTAAATTTTACGTTGTATTGCAATTGGAATATTCCCGTCAATCACCGAAAACAAAACTATAATATATAGAAAGTATTAGCCTGGCAACTACGACATATACACCATGTAATTCAAAAAGCTCATGAACAAGTGTTTCGGTTAAAAGTGTCAATTGGCCCTTAAGTAACTTTAAGAGAAATATTTGGTTACTATTGGGTAATTAACCGGTGATTTATCCGATASTGACGTCCAGGGTATTAAGTGTGTGGGCTGAATGCACACTTTCAAAATAAAATGTAAAAATGGTATTTTGAGACATGAATATATTGGGGTATTTTCTTGACCGAATCAACCGTTCATATATCWCTAGATTCTGTAAAGAGTGCTCTCGTGCACTTGTATATATCGGTATAGGATTTTTGCARTCTGCAGTCTTGCAGAGGGGAAGGAGAAGTCCTATTTTGTGATATTACTTTCGATGAATACTGTTAGAGTGCAATCATTTTTAATATATGCATGTGCGTCCAGATACCTTTTGCTTATTTTAAATTTTAGTATTTGATAACAATATAATCGCTTTTCATAAATATAATTTCTGTATATGATGTATAAGTATATAAAAGTATTTATATTATGGCTGATTTAACTTAAGTTAAAATAACATTAAAATAATTTAAACTRATAAAACAGTTTTCTTTCAAAATAAATATTTTAAAACACACTTATTTATCGTAACTTTTTATAAACACATTAACTGCTGTCAAATTTCGTCTATTAAACAAACTCGCTGCCATTGAAGAGAAAAATTGGCTTCGTTARGTTTTTGCTTCCACTCGTTTCTCCTCGCTAATCCAATCACTTTTTGCCGACGCCATTACAGTTTGCAAAGAAAATTTGTGATCAGTAGTTTTGTTAATTTTTGTTCCGATTGTAACCTCGATTTTTGATATAAAGATATAATAAAAATGTTGAAAAATGAGTACAAATTAAAGCCCTAACATAGGGCTCTGAAAATTGTTCATTAGTTTGTTGATAGGACTGTGCAAACATGTTTTAAAAAGCGTTTGCAAAAGCTTGCGGACTTTTTCTTTTTTGATTTTTTTTAATTGGTCATTGGTCGCTTCCATCGTCCTATTCGCCGCTTTGTCGCCTTGTAATCTTKTTTTATTTCGTCATAAGTATACGCACAAAAATTTGCAAGAAATTAAGATGCAAGTGAAAACGCGAAGCGAACGATATAAATATTTATTTGAAAATTCTGTCCTAAGTAAAGAAGTGAAGTGACACAATTTTAAATGAGGAAAACTTTCCGCTATTTACGGATTTTAAACATGTAGTATGTATGTTTAAGTAAAGTTAAATGGAGATAAACTGTGATTGCATATTTGTATTACAATTTGATTAAAACTAAAATACAAGTTACCAAATAAAGCCTTGAGAATTAAACGGATAAGGATAACTGGAAATCGGTAATTTGTTGTAGAGTAATTTCTATATTTTTATGAAATATGTACATTTTCATGTAGACGAAGTGTATAATCTTCCAGCACCAGTGCGTTGATTCGTGGAAAGACATCTTATGCTGTAGAAAGAAAGAGAAAGATGTTGGTATTTTTTTATTTGCAAGTGGGCGACTTATATTGCGTAGCGTTGTCCCTCTTTTGTTTCGTTAGGTTTTGCGTTTAGTATTCTCAATTTGTTTCCAATTGGAGGGGCATCGGTGAGAAGACTYCAATGTTTGAAAATTTTAATATTACAAGGACTTCAATCTTATTTCAGACTTTGCCTTATTTTATTGTAATACACAACTTTTTTTTTTTTTTATCAAAATTGCATATGAAAATTAGTTTAGTTCATTAGCAGATATACGTATTTATATAAATATCGGAAACTGGCTTAATATTTATCAAGGAAATATCTTCACTTTTTAATTAATATAAGTTGAGACCATGTTCATATAGAGTGAAAGAAATCACCGTTTTACTATCTGCATAAAATTTTTTGCAATTGATTTAAAGTAAATACTTTTAAATAGTTTTCTTGGAGACTTTAGGGCAGCTATATTCTTGCAATAAGCATGTACTGTTTGTTTTTTAAATATTTGAGTTTATTAAACGTTCAATCCATATTCCCGTTAACATTTGAAACTTTACGTTATTAAAAAGTATTGACTAGATATATTTGAATAATTCACAGTATATAAGAGAGATCGGTTTGGAAGCGGACCGCCATTGTTTGCGCTGCCTATTCTCGGTGATCAATTTTACTGACACGATATCAACAAGTCCGAATTCGAATTATAACTTTATTGTAGAAGCACAATCTAGATTACTAGGCGCTCAATTGGAAAATCAACTGACTAGAGCGTCCTTCATATCGAATATTTGTTTTGCTGTCGACCATTGCTTTTCTCAACAAAAGGTTTGTTTTTACCATGAATTTGTTTTTGAAATAAAATTATTTGCTTTATCATTTTTTTAGACTCTTAAACCGACACTACAACTTATAGCGCAAATAACTAAGTTAACAGGAATTAGTAAACTTTGTGAAGTTGTATTGTCAATAGCATTAACTCATTCGTCACAAGCAGATTTACGTCAATACTCTTTGGAACATCTCAAAGTGTCATTCAGTGAGCTGATTGAATCATTCATAGAAAATAAAGAAAACAGCACTGCTGAGAAGTGTAATTTACAAGACGTATCTGTAGAAATATTACAACTGCTTCTTGTTTGTATAAACGAAGTTGTAAGCAAAGAACTTAAAAGTAAATTTTTGGATTTACTACGCAAACAATTTCCCCTTGAACGAGTTCCCCTCATACTATCGCCACATTTATATCGTAAAAGACTTAATTGTAGTGATTCTCCAGCGTTATTGCCATCAGAAGACACTGAATTGATTTACAACAAACAATACGCTGATGGCGGTACCGTTAGTCAACATTTGACGGAAATTAGTATTGAAGATATTTATGACAACTTATGCGAGAAAATATTTACTACACAGGTAGCTTGAACATTTGTTGTGCTGCAATTAATGAAATATAAAAAATTAAAATGTAAATATTTTTTCAGTTGAATAATAATATTATGGACACATCCTGGATTAATTTAATCCTAGAGATTGGTTACGAATTCACCTCAAGCGTTGAAGAATGTAAGAATCATCTACGTTGTGGTTCGCGCGAACTTCAATCACAGGATGTGGCCAAGATCATTGGTCTCATGTGCCGCAGGCACTCTTCATTACTCGATTGCAATGTGAACTTAGGAACTCCGGCCAATTTTTGGCCAGGTCAGCCGGGAACTGGCCCGAACGCACAACAACAAAATGTGGCCAATAACAATGACGGCAGTAACGTTACGGGCAGTGGCGTTGATAAAACAACCAACTTAAATGACAAAAAAGACAAAGTCGGTGGCAACCCAGTGGGTAMCATCAGCACAGAAACCACGCAAGCATGGAAACCGGACGTGTTTGTGCAGGCACTGAAGGAGGTACTACCACAGCTGAATTGGAAAGAGGTTTGCTTAGGTAAGTTCAATAATTTAGTGATAGTGACAGAAAAAACTATCGAAATATTTTTAAAGTACTCGTTATACAGCTTAAAATAATTTCAAGAAAATTAAATACTTTAAATATTTATTTAATTTTTAAGAACTTGATCATCCGGAGTTCATTCTGAAGGATAGAATCGGACTTGATTTGTTGCTGACCATTTTCCGTTTGGGTACACAATCTGCACTATTCCCACATCCAGAATGTATATATCGTCATTGGCAAAACGTAAACGGACAGTTGTCGCTGATAGCGGTTATGTTAAAAAATCCCGATCTGTTTACATTCTCCGATTACATCTTCACCGCCGCACCAGTAGAGATGCTAAAAACGCCGCCAGACACCGATAACAAAGAAGTGTGCGCTTGGAAATCTCTACATTTAGTGGAAGTTTTGCTGTATATTGCCGATCAAGGATTCTATCATCAAGTTATTGAATTGTTTAAATTCCCAGCACAACATTGCCCCGATATATTGTTTTTGTCACTTTTACACATAAATCCACCAATTACTGCATTGCGTCAAGAACTTTTTAGTCAACTCATACCGACTTTTCTAGCAAATCATCCAAATTCAGGCGTAATACTTATGGCTGCTTGGAATTCACAAAACTTTAATTTAATTTTACGTCCCATTATTATGCAGTCCATGTCGGATTGGTATCAGCGCGGCACCGAATATGATCAGGTTAAACTTTCGCGCATACTTGATGTAGCACAGGATTTAAAAGCATTATCGACTCTGCTTAATGAACGTTCATTTCTATTTGTGATCGATTTGGCATGCCTAGCATCGCGACGCGAATACCTTAAACTGGAAAAATGGCTAAGTGATAAGATACGTGAACATGGTGAGCCCTTCATTCAAGCTATTTTGAAATGCCTACAACGTCGTTGCCCACAAATAACAAACGCTAAAATACCGGAAAGCCAATTGCCATCCAAACAGGCACAGCTACCACCTGAAACAGTGACAACAATGTTGCAATGCCTACAAGGTTGTATTGGCAACGTACCACCAGAAATAGTTGATCTGATTATGCAAATGACAGCGAACTGTACGATCATGGCGAATAAGGCAAGAGCCGCCGTGCCACCATTAGTGCCACAATTACAAGGTGTTATGCGTGGCCATCGTGGTATGGATATGGCCGGCGTGCCGGGCGTACCGCCACCACCTTTCTCCGCCAATTTGAATGCACAACAAATGTTTGGACCCACAATGGATACGCTATCGAATTTAACYACAAATATAGCCAGCTTAAATCTCGGTGGACCTAATGGCGCCTTCAATTTTGGAAATGTCTTAGGTAAGTTGAAAAGTAAATATTGGTTATAACTTTAATTATAAATAAGTTTAAAATGAAACGTTAGACATGCAATAGTGTTTGTTTTAGCTTTATGTACTATTAAAAACATAAGTTTAACGGACATCTATGTTGTTCCAACATGGTATGACTTTCACCGCTAATTTCACACTTGACTATTAGCAAAGTTATTGAAACTACATTAGGAAAATAAAAATATATATATATACCGAAGAAGTATATTAAAAGAAAAAATGAAATTAGAGCAATCATATTACTCTACAAGACATAACCTCACTAATTTGAAAAATTACAAGATCGCAGGCAACAGGCTCTTAGTCGAAGCCAACTTCTATTTATACGAACTATTAAATTGGCTAAATTCGAAACCCATGTGCATTTCTAAATATTCAAACAAAATTGCTATAAACAAAGTTGGTGCGGTAAAGATTCTGGGTATAAATTTATTTCTATAGAAATCTTTTAAGTTGGCGTAATTGAATATACTAATTCGTAGGTAATTTGGCGTCTACACCAGCTTCTCCGTCGCGTCTTATGAATCCAGCTGCCAGTCCATATCCGCTGAATGCTATGCAAATTCCACCACCGAATATTGGAAATTTAGGTAGAATGCCGCAAGCAGCGCAACAGCCGACACCAACGCCACCTAACCCCATAAATCCAGGTATGGCTGATCTGCAAGGACCCGTCTCCAAGGAAGTTGAAGATGAGGCTAATTCATATTTTCAACGTATCTATAATCATCCACCACATCCCACATTGTCTATTGATGAAGTACTTGATATATTGCAAAGATTCAAGGATTCGAATATACGTCGTGAACAAGAAGTTTATCAATGCATGTTACGTAATCTATTCGAAGAATATCGCTTTTTCCCACACTATCCAGAGAAGGAGTTACAAATCACAGCACAATTATTTGGCGGCATAATAGAGCGTAATTTAGTGCCCTCATGTGTGGCATTAGGTTTGGCCTTGCGCTGTGTTTTGGATGCATTGCGCAAACAGGACTCGAAAATGTATAATTTCGGCATAACGGCATTGGATCGTTTCAAAAATCGACTACATTCATACAATAAATACTGTGAATACATTCGTTCCATTGCACATTTTAATGACTTTCCACCGCATTTGATTCAATATGTCGAATGTGGCTATTTGCAACAGGAACCACCACCTGCCAAGATACAAATGCTTATGGCTGGTAGTGGACAGCAGCCACAGCCCGATTCAATTTATCGCAGCAATTCCGTGACAGGTGAGTTTGTTTACAAAATTGTGCATATATTTTTTATATTTTAAGGTACAGGGTGACCAAAAAATATTTATTTACTTTTAATTTTTATTTTATCTGTTTGATTTCTTTCACGTTGACAGTTTGTCGTGATATTGTGATAAATTTTCCTACTGAAAAACAGATTGCGCTAAATCAGTATCGCGCAATGATATTTCGAGTATATTTTCACTTCAAATCTTCTTGGTGGAGGGATTATCAAGTATCATTTTTGTATCGCGAAGTCTTGCTAAATGTAGTAGATTATTGTGATAATCTATTCAACAGCCTAAATCTCGTGGTTAAATGCCGGTCAGAACATGATATTAAAGTTAAAGATTATTTTACGCTTAATTTTAACCATTTTTTTCTATTTAATTATTGTCACATTTTTTTTTATATATAATGTATATTTAACTAGTAATTTCCTCTATAATTTTCCCCTAATTTGTTATTCGACGTCATCTGTGCAATATCGTCTGCATAGTTTTGCTTTGAAATAAAAGTTTTTTTTGTGGCAAAAAAAAGCTTTGTCAATGAATATTTCAGTTACTCTGTACCAGAATTTAGTCGTGTTTAAAGAAATAGTTAATTCTTTTCATATAATTTTTAATATTATTTGTAAATATTTAAAAGTGCATGAAAAATATGCAAATATAAAAATCTATATGAAATAAAAATGCTGGTATATTGCCTATTAAAACTGCATGTTTCTTTTGATTTTAAAATTCTAGGAAATATAGTAACAACACCAACACAACAAAAGCCTATGGTTGTTGCTCAGTCCATACATGCATCACGTATGAAATCAATTGCTACCGCTACAAATATCGATACATTATTGGTTGCCAATCAGGAGGAGAAGATCACTATACCGCCCGAACCAGTACAGGATAAAACCGCATTCATATTTAACAATTTAAGTCAACTGAATATACCGCAGAAATGCGAAGAGATTAAGGAAATCATGACGAAGGAATATTGGCAGTGGTTAGCACAGTATCTGGTGCTGAAGCGCGCTTCATTGGAATTCAACTTTCATTCGTTATATTTCAATTTCTTGGAGGCACTGAAGAATCCCGAAATCAATAAATATGTAACCAAGGAGACACTCCGRAATATAAAAGTTTTACTACGTTCTGATAAGGGTGTGGTGAATTTCTCCGACCGCAGTTTGTTAAAGAATCTGGGCCATTGGTTGGGCATGATGACGCTGGGACGCAATAAGCCTATTTTACAAATTGAATTGGACTTGAAAACCCTATTGGCCGAGGCATATCATAAAGGACAACAAGAATTGCTGTTTGTTGTGCCATTTGTAGCTAAAATATTGGAATCTTCAGGTAAATCGAAGGTCTTCAAAACACCCAATCCATGGACAATGGCTATTATGAATGTGCTTGGAGAATTGCATCAGGAGCCTGAATTGAAGCTTAATTTGAAATTTGAAATTGAAGTGCTTTGCAAGACATTAAATCTGGATTTGCAGAAATTAAAGCCGATCGTMTATTTGAAGGACCCCTCACGTTCGATGAATATTGAACATCAAATGGCCCAGCCTAAACCCAAAAATATTGAGGCACCGCCTCAACAGCAACAGCAGCAACAACAACAACAACAACAACCGTCACAAGGTCAAACTCCAGGTCCCGGTCAAATGGGTCCCAACGATTCAGACGCACAAGCCTTACTCATGGGTGGCGGTGGTAGTGCTGGCGTTGGYGGCGCAAACATACCAGGCGGTGTAGTGCCTTCACCCAGCATTAGCAATGAATCAGCCGGRCAGGTTATAATGCAAGCGCCTGAACCGCGTTTCTCTTTCGTCGATATAAATATAGCCAATTTCCATCTGATCGCTCAACATGTGGTACTATCGCCGAACATAACATTTTTGCATGCCAATCCCGGTCTCAAGCATATTGTACTCAATGCAATTGAACGCACAATTACCGAATGGTTGCAACCGGTCGTAGATCGCAGTGTACGTATTGCAGTGACCACAACAGAGCAAATTGTGCGCAAAGATTTCGGACTCGATCCAGATGAGAATCGCATGCGCACAGCTGCACATCAAATGGTGCGTTATTTATCAGCTGGCATGGCGATGATTACCTGTAAAGACTCCTTGTCGCAAACATTGACAAATAACATACGCAAAGCGTTCTTATCTGCGCTGACAGGTGGACCAAGTTATCAGGATATCGAAGCGGCGGCAATACAGCTTAGCAATGACAACGTCGAGCTGGCTTGCGCTTTTATACAAAAGACAGCGGCTGAGAAATCAACGCCCGAAGTAGATCGACGCATGTCCACCGACTTCGATACACGTAAAATGACTAGGGATGAGGGCGGGTAAGTCACACACACACACATTGCGTTAATATAGGCACTCAAATTTATAATCACTYCCTTTCATTTTTTGCAGTCGCTTTTACGACACACAAACATTGGCCTATCAAACTGAGCGCATGCCGGAGCAAGTACGCTTAAAAGTCGGCGGTATACCACATACACAATTCGCTGTGTACGCCGAGTTCGCACGCAATATACCCGGTTTCCAACAGATGACCGAACGCGATATCGCACTATTCTTGCCCAAACCACAAGAGTTGCCCCCGGCTACCTTCGGTAATGAYGAAATGGGCCTCCTATATGCCGAATTAGCTGCCAAAATGGATGCATTCCTCAACAGCACCATGAATATATCCACACTGCAGTTGCAGGCCAGCAAAATACATGCGYTGCTCAATGCGCTAATGGTGACTAGGCGTATACGTGATAATGAATCGGCTCTAAATCTATTGACACGCGTCGTTGAGGGTCTCATTGAAGGATTGGTGAACATACCCGAACACATCGAGCAAATGAAATTGTACCGTGATATACATTTACGTATACTGAATATGTTGCAGAATACATTTGGTGCTGGTGTAACAGAACGAGCAATCACCAAGTGCATTTTCGATGTACGCGAAGAAGTGCGCTACAATGTTGAAGCTATCAAATGGCTTATAACGTCACATTTCATAAATGTGCCGCAATTCGATTTGTTGTTGCGCGAAGCTATGGACAATGGCAATAATTACATGGCTGTCACATTTGCCATGACATTAATGGAACGGCTGCTTGATGGACGCACCAGCGCCACTTTGGAAACAGAAATGACCGGCACATTCGAGATGTTGGGTCGCTTGCCACAGAATCGTCATCGCTATCCTGACGCCACGACTCATCAGATAGATATGATGGATGCGGGACCTTTCGGTGGAGCTGATCACTATCTGGCCGGTGCCAGACAATACATGACCTCGGGCATGCAGCATGTACGGGTGAGTGCCAAACAGATGTTTGTCATGTTGTTGCATTTTCTCAACTCCATTAAAAAATTAAAAAAATAAATTATTTTTGTATGCTATTATAGTCCAACGATTGCGATGATCCACCTGGTTTGCAAGAGAAGACCGAATTCCTGCTCAAAGACTGGGTCTCCATCTACAACCAATCGAACAATCTGTCGCGTGAAGCCAAGATCTTCACATCATTCGTACAGAAGATGAATATGTATGGCATTCTGAAGACCGATGACTTGATAACGCGCTTTTTCCGTCAGGCCACACAAATCTGTATTGATTTAGTGTATCGCATACTGAACGACCCAAGCAATTCACCATTGCAAGCGCGCACCAAAATCTTCCATTGGATAGACGCATTTGTGCATTTAATTGCTCTGCTGGTACGCCACTCCGGCGAAGCGGGCAATACCACAACAAAAATGAATCTGCTAAATAAGGTGCTCGGCATTGTTCTCGGCATATTGCGGCAGGATCAAGAATTGCATGGCACCGCATTCCAACAGCTTGGCTATCATCGCTTCTTTGTGATGCTATTCCTAGAGCTGAGCTCACCCGACGCAGTGCTAGAGAGTCTGATGCACAGCATTATAACTGCCTTCTCGCACACGTATCATCTTCTGAATCCAGAACATGCACCCGGYTTCGGCTACGCCTGGTTGGAGTTGATATCACATCGCATTTTTATCGGACGTATACTAGCACAGATACCGCAACAGAAGGGCTGGCCACTGTACTCACAGCTGCTGCTCGATTTGTTCCGCTATCTGGCGCCATTCTTGCGGAATGCCGAGCTAGCGAAGCCCGTACAAACATTGTACAAGGGAACGCTGCGCGTTCTGCTCGTGTTATTACACGATTTCCCTGAATTTTTATGTGACTACCATTTTGGCTTTTGTGATGCAATACCGCCGAATTGCATACAAATGCGCAACATAATATTGGCTGCTTTTCCACGCAACATGCGTTTACCCGATCCATTTACGCCTAATTTGAAAGTGGATATGTTGGCGGAGACTGCAACAGCACCGAAAATTTGCTCAAATTACGTATTCAATATACAGCCAGCAAATTTCAAGAAAGATCTCGACTCCTACCTGAAGGCACGCGCTCCGGTAACTTTCCTCTCGGAGCTGCGTTCACACTTGCAGATCTCAAATGAGCCCGGCTCACGTTACAACATTCCGCTCATGAATGCGCTCGTACTGTATGTGGGTACGCAAGCTATTTCGCACATAAGGTGAGTAACAACATGCTCCTCGATTGTTTGAAACCCACTACTTTAGTTTTTGTTTACATTTTTGTATTTTACTTATTTTTTATGAAAATAACCACGCGCAGAAGTAAAAATTTCGTGCCCAATACATCGAACATCGCACACAGCGCACACATGGATATATTCCAGAATTTGGCTGTCGACTTGGATACCGAAGGACGCTATCTCTTCCTGAACGCCATTGCCAATCAATTGCGTTATCCGAATAGCCACACGCACTACTTCAGCTGCGCAGTGCTACATTTGTTCGCCGAGGCTAACTCTGAGGCCATACAAGAGCAGATCACACGTGTACTACTTGAACGTCTCATTGTGAATCGGCCACATCCATGGGGTTTGTTGATTACCTTCATCGAGCTGATCAAGAATCCCATCTACAAGTTCTGGGATCATGACTTTGTGCACTGTGCACCAGAGATTTCAAGGTAAGTGCCAAAACATACAAAATATTAGTGATACGTAAAAAAAATTGTAATTRTTTAATATCGATAATTTTCGTTGAACGCTTAGATTATTCGAGTCGGTGGCACGTTCGTGTATGGTCAAGTCCAATCATCAGCCACAAATCAACAATATGGATGGTGACATTCAGGAAATCAATTAATGTTGCACTACAACAACAAAAACAAGAAACAAAACGAGTAGAACAATGTAGTTCTCACCCTAGTGATGGTAGTATGCACGCAGTGGAAATAAACGGTGTAGTTGTAAGAATGATTTGTGTATTTAGTTGTGGGGCTGTTGGTAGCGATGGCGGCGTTGCTAACAGTCGAAAGCCGTTAATTTCCACTATGAGCGTCACACTGTCGATCACATTGAACAGAAGTAGCAGAAGATTAAAAAGTTTTTTTAAGCTAAAGATACAAAAACATATAATTGATTTATGAATTAAGAGATTGCAAATTTTTTAAAAAGAAAAAACTAAAAAAATTGAAAAATCTAAAATGGAAAAGAAAACGAAAAAAGTAAAAAAAAAAAACAACAATATATATATACTATAAATAAACAAATAATTTACTTGTAAGTAGTTTAAAATACACGATAAAGAGGAAGCAACACTTGAAAGCAAATTTAAATTAAATTAAATTTATTAATAACTAATTGATGTATTATAAATATAAAATTAATTTGAACAAAAAGAAAAAAACAACATATATGCTAATTATTAAACAACAAATTACAGATGTTGATGTAAAAATTTATAGTTGTTGGCAAAAGAAGAAGCGAGAAAAGCAAACACTTTATCGAAGCATATGAAAAACGAGCGAAATAACGAACAAGCCCAGCACGGGTGTGTAGTTTAAGAACGGGCGAGGAAAGTATGTGCGAAGCGCGACGAGTATGAGTACAGTATGCGAGTTGTTTAAAATGTATTTGCTGCAACGCTGACCTGAAACACTGCGGCAAAACAATTTACAATTTTAAATAAATGATAGTTACAAAAATGCAAACAAAAACAAAGCATTATGGTAAGCATTAAGCGTAGATACAGATGTAATATGTACCAAAATAACAAAAATAAAAGTAAACAAACTATAAAAATGAAAAAATAAAAGCATTGAAAAAAAAAATCCAAACAAAAAAATTGTAAAATCCAATAAAGCAAAAAATTACAAAACGTGTACATATGTATTTGTATCAAAAAAATAAAAAAAACTACAAGTAATGCTAATAATGATATAAAAAAAAGCTACATAAGCAGAGCGCGAAATGCAGAATACTTCAACATTTGCTGGCTGGTTGCAAGTGGGAAGCAAGCAATTTGAAAAAAAAAAAATGATAAAAGCCAACAAAATTCAAAATTTGCAAACATGCTTGTGCTYCTTTCAACCATAGTCTAGCAAATGTTGATGGTATTTCAAAAAAGAAATATATATATAAATATAAACATTAATGGTGATGCTTTTAAAATAAAATTACTTATAATGGCGATGATGTGATGTATAAGAGAGAGAGCGTAAGAGAAAACGTGGAGCAGGAGCGCAATGTACAAACCCAATTTTCGTTTTTCCGAAGTGAAAAGAAATTAATTTGTTTTGAAATAAATGGAAAAATCAAATGAATGAAAAATAAATACTAAAACAAAGAAAATAATTTAAAAATCAATTGAGATTAAACATTAAATTAATATTGAAAAATAAAAATTAACCAATAATTAATATTTAAAAGGTAAATCGAAATTAAAAACTAATTAAAATTACAAAATAAATTTAAACTAAAAATAATTAAAATTAAAAATAAATAAATTGAAGACAAAAAATAATGTTTCAATTTAATAAAATAGTTAAAAATTAAAAAATAGTTCAAATTAAAAAATAATTCAAAAATTACACATAAAAGATTAGTACAACTAGAAAATAATTAAACATTAAAAATTAAATTGAAACTACATCAAAAAATATACACTCCGAATAAAGTACACAAAATTTTATAATTACAAAATAAATTAAAACAAAAAAATAATTTGAAATGAATAAAATAACTAGAATTAAAAAATAAATATTATATATTAAAAGATAAATTGAAATTAAATCTGCATAAAAAAATACAAAGTTGTACTCCACAATACAAATAAAGTTACACAAAATCTTACTTTGAAAATCTTTTCATTTACGATAAAACGAAAAATGCGTTTGTGCACATTTTATGAATTATGTTTTTATTTTGCTTATAAGCATATCATTTTGATAGCAACACTCGAGTGTATATTTCACCACAAGTGGCCCAACTTGATTTTTACACACATTCACACGTACAACCACAAACATTTATAGCGACATTTTGGAGACTTGTGCTTTCTCGATTAATTGGTTTTTGTTTTTAATTAGCAATGTACAGTTTTAAACCGAATTAATAAAAGAAAATTATAAAATAACATAAACAAACTTAAAAATTTAAAACTAACAAATTATTAACATTCATGTCTATGTATTAGACTAAAATTACTTGTCATTGGATAAAAGTTGATTTCATTTGTTGCTTTACAATTCGCAATTCTACATTTTACTAACGCAATTGCTTTAAGCGTGTTTATTTACCTTGAAAATTAATTCATTGAATTACTATTATTAACTATTGCTTATTTGTTTGGCGAGGAAAATTTTAATGCGCTCATATTTTAAGCTTATCAAATTAAATTATAAACAACAAAAAAACAAAAATCCAAAAAAAAAAATGAAAATTGCAAGAACAACAATTATATAAAAAAAAAAACTCATGTGCTGAAAACGGCAAGAACTGTATGTCATTGATCATTTTACTTGGGAAAAGTGTATGTAATTAATATTAAATTAAAATACTTATAATTTCTAATTAAATGTCTAATTGAAAGCAAAGTTAAAATATATACATATAAATGCATACTGAGCAATTAATTATAATTATGTATTAATTATAAATGGAGTAACTTAATTGCTAGTGAAAGAGAGAGCAGAAATTATATGCAGCCGAAACGAAGTACATACATATATAAATACAAATATATATGTATATACGTATGATAAATGAATAGAATGAACGTACATATGTATATGAAGAATAATATAAACAAAGGAAAAAAGAAAAAATAAATACAATGCAAAAAGAAAATTAACAAAAACAAAAAAACAACAAGTAACAAAAACGAAAATAAATATATATTACAGATGCATTAAAATAAAACATAGTCATATTCATTACAAAAGCAACGTTATTTCATTTGCTCCAACGCTTTGCGGGATGGAGAAAATATTGTTCGGAGTTGAAGTAATAATTGTCGCGATTGACCAGCCGGCAAGGTATTATACGCGTTTTGTTACAGAACACKTGTTATATTGGCAAATTTGACCAACAAAAGGAGATTCATGGCGAATTAAACCCAACGTTTTTTAACCCAGTAGAGAACAATGGATGGGGACCCCAGAGGTGATGATATGTTCAGAGCATACTGAAATTATGGAGGAAACACTTCTCCAACCTGCTGATTGGCCGTAAAAGCCTAACACCAGTAAATGGTGATCCCGATTCCCCAATTGGTGAYGATGGAGCAGACGTTCCATTGTCCGACTATGAAGAAGTCCGAATAGCAAGTACCCGTCTGAAGAACAAAAAATTAAATGACTGAAAATTTAGTATCTTTCAATGCAAGTTATCGATGTTTAAGACCGACTTGTTCGTGGTTGACGTCAGGATTAAATTCATTAGACTATCGGTGCTTCTCCCGCCGAACATGGCGTAATTGGGACGGGCCTAAGACTTACTATTCTTTTCTGCCTCATCACTGGTCATTTTCTTCTTTTGGTCAATAAAACTGATGGCGTGTTTGCACATATTAAAATGTCGAGTATTCGAAGTCGATCACCGCACTCCGAAGGTTTCGGGATAGAGCAGTCAGTGCGTCTTGCGATCACCGAGAGTTTGCCAGTTTTCTCATCTCCCATCGAAAGGGCGAATGGCGAACCGTTCGTCTATGAGTGGGTGCCACCTAGAGAATTTATCTTAATGTGATGTATAGACTTCAAAAAATTTCGATTTCCCCATCTCYCATTTGAATGCGAAAAAAATCGAGGAAACTAGGGATAGTTGAATCAACTGATCATAAATTACTCAATAATGATGTATACCTGTTAAAATACTGCTTTACGAGGGTTATTATTGATTTTTGAATTATATAACATTCACATTCATTTTTTCTATCACGAATTATAACGATCACTRCTTGTAGCTGATCGCCGATATATTCATGATTCTTATAATATATTCAAGCTTCTTCTTTTTTTTGGTTCAGATACCGCTTACGCGGCTAWAGTCCAGTTGCGGCAATCATTCCTCCTTTTCGCTGTTTGGCGCCAATCGGAGATTCCAAGCAAGCAAGATCCTTATTCACCTGGTTTTTTTCTACTCTCTGAGCTGGAATGTTTTCATCCATTCGGACGACTTGACCTCGCCAGCGTAGCCACTGTCTTTTAAATCGCAGAACTATGTCAATGTCGTAATGTGTATATTTAGTTTAGCTCATCATTCCATCGACTGCGATATTCGCCGTTGGCAATGCGCTAAGGATCATAAATCTCCGCAGAACCTTTCTCTCGAAAACTCGAAATACCGACTCCTCTTCCATGCCTCTGCACCATATAGCAGGACCCGGATGATGAGTGACTTGCACCTGTTGGTAAGAGTTATTCTTCGTTGGATTTCGAGGCTGACATTGTTTTTGGTGTTAATTTCTTATCCGAGGCTGTTGTTTCTTTTTCATTTGGGGCGTTTTATATGTGGCGGGTTCCAAACCCAGCGCACAACCCTTGGGAGGAATGGTTSGCCTTCTCTCCTTAGATCGCCTTTGAATGGATGTTCTTTGGGATTGGTCTAAGAACGGAAGTCGTGTGCTGCTTGAGCCATATGTAAAAGAATCTGGCTACTCCCAAGTAAATGGCGCTCAGARAACTTTCCACWCTTGTGTGAGCTTCTACACTTGGTTCCATCCTCCAAAATTCGCGGAAATCGTTGCATATGTAAAAATATCTTTTAATGTGTTTCCCAAAAAACGAAATACTTATGTACATATATTTCGGATTCAAATTCAAAAATGTCCTAAATTTGAAATTGGAAATATTATTCATTTTCAGAATCGAATTTTGAAAGCTTGGCAAACTTCTAGATACTGGTACCGCCTTGCATGTAAAATTATCCATTAGATACTGAAAAGCTTAACAGTGATGTATTCCGTAGTCTTTCGAATACGTTTGCGTTCTTACGATGGCAGATTATAAGCTTTAAAAGCTCWT